GGTAGGACCATGCTTTCAGGAGGGACGTGGCAGCTGCTCATCAACAGGAATGGGCACAGTGAGCCTTGCTAACACACGGGCCTCTGTGGAGAGCTGGCATGGAGGAGTGAAGCTGGCCTTTCAGAGAACTGTGGCTGCAGCATGGGCTTCCCGGGGGACAGGGCTTTGCAGGGTTGCCAGAGTGCTGAACTGAAGTCTCATGGCAACACTAACAGAGATGAGCTCTACCTACACCCTCAGTTCCTTCAGGAAAGCCTAAACCCCAGAATGATGTGCAATGGGGTCCTGGGGACAGAGCCTCGTGATAGGACTAGTGTCCTTAGGAAAGAGATGCTCACAGCTTCTCTCATTCCTTCCTTCCTGCACGTGAGGACGCAGAATGAAGGCACCATCTGTGAGCCTAGAAAATCACTCACAAGACATGGGATTCACCAGCATATTGATTGGGGATTTCCCAGTCTTTGGAATGGCGGGAAATAAATGGCTTTACAAGCTACTCAGTTGGTGGTATTTTGTTATAACACTCCAAATATATGAACATAGTTTGCATGACCAGACATGCTGGGCAGACAATGATTTGTGCTGACTAGAGCCATGCTAAGAATCTGGAGTGCCTTAAATTGTATAGTCCTCTGCCTTTCTGTCTCGCCTGATCCTGTAGCATCCCTCAGCAGCAAGCATTGCTGTTTCTAGTCTACTGACGCAGACTCTGAGGCCAGAGAGGTTGAGTAATCGGCCTCAAGTCACCCAGACAGTTCAAGGCAGCACTGTGCCTTCCTACACAATAGAAAGGCTTCAGGGAGCCTGAAACTGGAGGTGCTAGGAGGAAAGACACAGCGTGAGCCTCCTCACCAAGAACCTGTTTCCAGCCAAGTCTGAAACGAGAGAAAGGCCCCATCCAGGCCCACCGGACGGCAGAGGTGGCGCTTAGCCACCTGGCAAGGAGTAGCCAAGATCGTGGTTGTGGACCCGAGGACAGCTTGCCACTCCTTCCTGTTGGGGTTCCAGACAAAGGAAAGGCAAAGGGCACCAGCAGCACCACATCGTGCAGAAGCTCCCTGCACGGTGCCATGGCAACCAAGCTGAGGGCCAACAGCAGGAGCTGCTGCGGTGCAGCGCGTAGGCTGAGGATTAACAGCACCACAGTCCGCTGACCGTGTGCCGGAAGTCAGACTGGGCATTGCACTGGCCTTCCTACAGCCGTCTAGCCCGAGGAGGAAGGAACCATTCCTACCCCCTCGAATGATGAGGAAACAGACACGGGAGGTGACCCATGCCACCTAAGAGAGATGAAATCTCTGAGCAGTTTCACTGACTCAGCATGGCGTCTCTCGCCCCAGCCCCACCTCCATGCCTTCTTCATCTCCCCAGACTCGCGAAGAACACTTCTCTCGTGAGATCGAGGACATGACGAATGGCGCACTGAACAGGGGTTCCTCCTCCGAGGGGATTTGCATTCGTGCTGTTCATTGGTGTGACCCAGGCTTCTAAATCAGCGCTGGGCACTTGGTGGACGTCTGATAGATACTTGTTGAGTGAAGGAAATTATCAGAGAGCCGCCAGGGAGGCCAGTGCCGAATTGGCCGAACGATTGCTCCATACACGGCCTTGCAGCTTGAAAGTCAGCATTTTCTCTGTGAAACAGCACTTAGTCTCTTTGTGTCGTTCAGAATATAATGTGATCGGCCACTGAGATCCGTCTTGGCCCTGTCTGTTTCACACAGAAGGCAAGGGAAGGAAGGTCCTGGAAAGCGGTCTCTCTGAGGGAGACCTGCTTCCCATCACCCTCCTGCAGCCGCGTCTCAGGCTTGCCTGGCTCATCCAGTTCATCCTCAGCAGATCACGGCCTCCCTTCACCAGGTGGAATAGAGCCTGTGCGTGCACTACAGTGGGATTTCCACCCTGCCATGTGCCATAGATCTTAAGTTCCCTTGTAAACACTACAAAATACCAGTACATCGTCCATCGAGAACGGAGTTCAGTCCTGCCGCCGCTTTCCTGCATATGCCCAGCACCCCTGGCCTTGGCTGGAACCTTACCTGCTTAGATATGTCCCAGTGGCCAGGGGCACAGGCTCCATGAGAGAGGGAAAGCAGTCCTGGGCACAGAGAGGGCTGTGTTGCCTGATGGGTCAGACCCCCGGGCTCCATGGAGCAGGCTTGTTTTGTTCTCTAGACAAATGAGGAGCTGGAGGCTGTTTTTATGCTTGCGAATTCTTGACATTTTTTTTCAAGCTCCTAAATAAGCAAAGCTACCACTGCCCATCTTGGCTGGCACTGCTCAGGGCTGTTTAATGAATAATAGAATCAGATAGTGCTGGTGAGCGAGGCCCCAGAAAGCCCTGATTCATACCCTTTTCTACATGCTACACAGTGTAGGCTTTCTTCCTGATCTGGGTTTACACTGAAGTCTGTCACCTTAGAGCACAGCAGAGTGAAATGAGGTATAATGTAGCATAGTGTAGTGTAGAATAATGTAGTGATAATACAGTATAGTACGGTGGGGTATGGTGTGATATAATATAGTACAGTATAGTACGGTGGGATATGGTATGATATAGTATAGTACAGTATAGTACGGTGGGGTATGGTGGGGTATGGTGTTGTGCAATGCAGTTTAGTGTAGGATAGTACAGTGTAGGATAATATGGTTTACTATAGTAAAGCATGGTACGATATTGCATAGCATAATATAGTAATGTAGTATAATACAGTAGTGTGGCATACTATGGTGTGATATGGTATAGCATAATACCGTAGATTAGGATAAGGGGATGGAGTGTGGTAGCACGTGGTGGAGTGAAATTTGGTACAGTGTAATGTGCTGTGCTATGGTATAATATGGTACAGACGGTATAACACAGTGAGGCTGGTGGGGCATAGGCGCATGGGATGAGGGTGTTGTGTAGTCTCGTGTAGTGCAGTATGATGTGGTATAGTACAGCATGGCCGATTACGGCATCGCCCTCTGTAATACCTCCTATCTAAGGAGACTGCCTATGCTGTGAATGAAGTCAGGTGGTCACTGGCCCTTCCCTCTGTTCCTTCACTCACCTTCTCTTTGGCCCTGGGACCTGGCCTCTCTGAAACAATCTGGACTCCACCAGTAGAGATCTAGAAACGCGGTGCTAACCTGACTCCTACATTGCACTGATCATAAGCAAAGGTCCTGGGAGGCAAAGGGCTGCCCTCAAACTCTCAGAGCACATTAAGGACCACGCTGAGCCAGCACCATTTCCTGAGTGAGGACTCCGGGTCTCTCTGTGAACATGCTATCTAACACAGCACTGAGGAACACACTGTACCAGACAGGACCATGGGAAGCGTGCCCCCTCGCCTGCTCGAGGACTCAGCCAGTTGCTGGACGAGTGGATGTCCACTGATGCTCACACCTGTACTGCTTACTGTCCTGTAGCTTATGCTGAAAGAGCTTTCGTATGTGCCTGGCCTCCGGGATGGGTGACCCCCACCCACTTCCTGTGCCAGCTCAGACATAAAGATGTGACAGGAAATGAAGTTGTCACTGACTGGCTTTGTTCTCCTGTCTCTAAGGGACTCTTAGTCCTCAAACTGTGCCCTTCAGTGGCACCAAACAAGCAGACAGACCTCTTCCCTGCTTCTGCGTGGGTGATGCAGAGCAGGGTCATTATGACTCAGAACCACACACAGCCTAGAAGGGCATTTAGACACAAAGGCTTGACAAGCCAGAGGCCTACCTTACCCAGGCCCCCACCGTCTCAGTCAAAGTAGAGAGCACGTGCTTTCTATTCTAGAAGCTTCCAGCAACAGCGGACAATGAGTCTAAAAGCAATGGGGCAATGGCAGTGGCCCACTGTCTTGAATGGCAGCGTCTCTTCCCCGGTGAGGCAAAAGAAGTATGATGCGATGAGTCCCCGTCTCCAAATTGCCTCCCTTCAGTGGTCTGTTTTCCTCATCTGTTACCTTTCTCCTTCGCTTCAGCAGCCTGACCAATGCTGGCTGTGTATAGCAAGAGCCCCAGTGTTTTTCTTCCCCATAACCTAATGCCAGGGACACACAGGACACTCTCCTGACTCCTCCCTGAGCTCTCTTCCTCCCCTCTGCCCCTCTTCTCTCCTCTACCCCCCCCCTACACCTTTCTTCCATCCTCTCCCTGGGACATCTCACCCCATGTTCAGGGGAAAGTCACATGGTTTGGCCCGAACGTTCAGCAGTGCTCAGAAATCCTAAACACTGGGCTTGGCAGCGCCTGCCAGGGAGAACAGAGAATCTCCTTTCAGGCCAGGCTGTGGGCAGGCAAGATGGAAGAAGCCTTATTAGGTCATCCAGGCTGAGAAGGGCGTCAGCCTCAAACTGCTGCTCACAGGCTGGGGGTGAGGCTCCTGGTCTGATCATCTCCATTCCGGTCAGCTCCTAACTCCCTCACCATCCCTCGGGAGGAATCCACACTCCTCCAATGACCACAGGGCACCTTATTCCCTTCCAAACCTGGAGAAGCCCAGGCAATAACTCCCCACCCCCACTCCCAAATGAATTTGTGTATCTGAATCTCCCCACCCTCCTGATCTCTTGCTTTTCTCTAGCCTCCGGCACTCGGCGCATATTTCCACTCTGTAGACCTTTCCTATTTCTTGCCGACTTGTTTGTCTGTGTCCTGCACTAACTAACATAAAACTCCTTGACCAGGCATCGGCTCTGTTTGGCTCACGTATGAATCTCAAGTACAGTTTCAGTAAATATTTACTGAATGACTTACGCACTAAGGTAACCCTTGAATCCATATTCTCGTCCCATGATTCTTGTGCTTGCCACGTCTACACAGTGAGCCACCCCATCATGCAGAGATAGGCACATCACCCTGGCCATTCCTCACATTTCTCTGGCTTTCCTCCTTCCACCTTCTTGGGGCAAGTAGGCTACTCTGACTAAACCCTTTTCCCTACTTCCTTGTGCCATGAGCAAGCAGGTTCCAAAATCTGTAAATGATTGTCAAAACCCGTGAGGCTGAGCAAACATCAGCAAATCAGCCCTAAGCTGTGCAGCCCAGTAGCTCTGAGAACCCCTGTTCCAGTCAGGAGCTGGTACCCTACCTCTGGAGCAGATTCTTCCAGCTGCAGTGTTATGGTTTCAGTCTAGACTGTTTCCCATAGGTGAGTGTTTTGAATGCTTGTTACCTAGCTGGTAGGTTGTTTTATTTAAGAGGTTTTGGGTGGCTGTGTATTCTCTAGGAGGTGGGACTCAGGCAGCAGAAGTAGGTCACTAAGGTGGTGCTTTGGGCTCTACCTTGGCCCCTGGTCCTGGCCTTTCAACCTCCTAATCCACCACTGTGTGAACAGTCACCCCCACATGCTCCACAGCCGTGCACTGCCATGCCGTCTACTAGAATGGGCTGTATCCCCTGAAACCACAGACACAGTTCAATCTTTTCCCCTCTGGTTGTTTCTGTTCAAGTACTGATGTCAGTTACATGAAAATAACCCATATGTGTCACCTCCCAACTCAGAATTGTTCCCTTGGAGGAATCTTACAGCCCCTGCCAAACTAAGGCACCTCCAGGAGCAGGTGTACTTTCTACAAGCAAGTTTGGTGGGTGTCTGCTGCGAAACTGCTCATCTCAAGGGCACCAGGAGCTGGCCACCCAAGCCTGGATCTTCTGTCTAAGAGCCTAGATGTTCTTGTTCAAAATGTTAATTTGTGTTTTCTTATCATATAATGACACATCCTTACAGAAAATGTTGCTCTTGAATCTTGCATTAAAGGAACCAAAGAGCTAGCGACATAGTTCAATAGTAGTAGCACTTACCCAGCATGAACAAGACCCAAGGTTCAATCTCTGTACCACACCGCACCACACCAGACCCCCCCACCCCCCCAAAGCATTTAAAAACTGAAAACTCATTAAGCATAGATAATCCTGTATATATTTTAAAATTTTTAATCTTTCTCTTTAGTGTAACCATTATTACTGCTTTTTTCAATTTCTCTTTTAGGAAAAGAAAAAGGTTTAATCTATTCTTTGCATTGCGTGAAAGCACTTGTATTGATTGGTGGGACAGCTTGAGTCGCTGAGGGCAGGGCCTGTGTGAGGCTTCCTCAATGGCCCCAAAGTGACACTACGCCAACTCTTTCAGGTCCAGCTGCTTTAAATGGCAGCGCCACCAGCAGTGGGTCCCTTCCGGGACAATAAGAAACTTTTTTTCCCCATCAGAATGCCTTCTTTTCCCTTTGCCCAGAGTCCACACTTCCACTGCAGGAACAGCAGCAGCACTGACCCCCAACTCCGCTACAGGGGATAAAACTGAAATCCCAGGAAGCAGAAGTCACCTTGTTAGAGAAATACTTGGAATCACAAGCACACACCACTCACAGTTATATGAACAGGGGAGATTTAGGGGCACAGATCTGGACAGAAGTGGGGACCCAACTAAAAGTGGGAACCCAATTAAAGCAGTAAACATGGAAGAGGGACACACACAAAGTAATTTCATAACTTTTCCCTTCCAAGTTATTTCTAAGGGCTTGTCATTTCTGACTTGAAATCGCAAATTATCTAAAATCTGAAACTGTTTGAGTGTTAGTGTGATGGTGCAATGGAAAAATTTGTCACCTGACATCTGTTGAGTGACTGTGACCAAAATGCATGAGACTAAAACCCTGAAGACAGTTCCTTCAAGTAATGTGAGTACAACATACACAAAATAGAAATGATTTGATGTTTACTCCTGAGTTCTGTTCCCTGAGGGTTGCATTATTCTTAGGGATGGGGGAATCCCTGGATCTGAGACTTCTGGTTTCAAGCATTTTGATTAAGGGATACTTATCTGGTACTTAAAAGGACAGAATTAAAGACTGTCTCCATTTCTGGTCCTGGTTAACTGAGGGACCCAAGAACCTAAGATAACAGGACTGGGCCAGAGTCAGAGGCCCTTTGATCTTAATGCACACAGTGATTGCCAGTACTGTAGCTTAGAAAATACAGATGTCTGGGCCCTACCTCCAGAAATCCCTATGAAATGGTCTAGTTTACAGCCTAGGCAGTAGTTGAGGTTGCCCCCCCCTCCCAACACAATCCAGCAGACTTTAGGATTTTGTCCGAGCCCCTTTTTAGTTCTAAATTAGGACTCTGTATAGTTTGAGAACCAAGATGTCTTGCTTGGTCCATTCTTACTGCCAGGTAGCCGCCTAGTCTACCTGCACACATCTCTGGCTTCCACAGTATATGCAGGTGAACATACACATATGTGTGCAGCTAGTCTGCACTCACAGAGAGCTGCACATTTCTGTGACTATTGGTCACAGAGTCCAATAATGATGCAGTTCAGTCCTGCTCCCAAATCTACAGGTTTACCAACAACAGAGAGATTAGATGGGAGCAAAGGCCCCTTTATGTGTAAATGTGTGTGCATGTGCACAAGTATATGCATGTCATGGGTGTTGGGTGAAGGCCAGAGGACCATTCTCAGAAGTCAGTCCTCTCCTACCATCCTGTGGGATCTGGGGATCAAATTCAAATTGTCAGGCCTGCATGCAAGCGTCTCTACCTCTATTGGCTGAACTATTTTGCTGGCCCAATGAGTCCGGTATGGATTTATCCTGAGAAGATTGAATCCACTTTCTGATCAAGGACCACTCATAACTCATCCATTCCATAAAACACTACATCTGGCAGTTATGAGGCTGTTTCTTTTCTTTATTAGGAAGTCTTATTGAAAAGTCATTTTAAATGGGGGTGGGAAGGGGGAATTGGCCAGGGAGGAAGAGTAATTTGCAATCAGGGGGTGGGGAGGTAGCTCAGTTGGTAAAACGCTTGATGTGCAAGCATGAAGACCTGAGTTTGGAGCCTTAGGCTCACTTAAAAAGCCAGATGTGGTGGCACACGCCTGCAGTCTCCATATTGGGAAGGCAGAGACAGCGGCATGCTAGCCAACAAGTCTAACCAAATTGGTGAGCTCCAGGTTCTGTCTGAAAAAATAAGGCATAGAGCCTCTCTACATGCATGCACACATGTGTGCATGTGCACCCCCACTCCCACACACAGAGTGAATGCACTCACAACTAATCATACTGCCATGGTCTGTAAGCTTCATTTCCATGTGTTAATATGAGTTAATGAAGGCAGACTATGTCATCGGTGGAGGCTGGAAACAGAACTGTCAGCATCAGTATAATCTACTGATGCCTCTGACCGCCTTGGGGGATTCCTTGTAGCATATGCCTACCAGAGCTATAATGACACATAAACACACACAGAGAAAATGAGTCACTTTCTCAGGCAAATCAGTCTTGTAAGCACTTGGCGTGTTTTCTTCATTCCCTGCAGGCCTCCAAATACTCAGGCGTTTTCTCAAGTCTGTGGAAAAGCAGGCATTCTCATGTTTCCCCAGCAAGTGTCCATTTCACAATTGTTGGCGTCTTTGCCTGAAGACATGGGCATCGATTGTTATTTGCTCATCCACTGGCAAACTACCACTTATGACCTCAAGCTTCATCTGATTCTCATCAAACGTGCCTTGTGTGTAAAGGGAAACCAGGGCAAGCTTTTATAAGGTCATCACAGGCATACCTTTGCAGGTGCTACGTTGTGTATGTGAAAAGTAATATAACAGAGGGGCCATTTCCAGAAAACAGCCAGCTGTTAGAGCTGCTATGGGATTTTTGGAGGAATATGTATAAAAAGCCAGCCCCTGGGCCATCTCAACATGTCATCAGCTATCAGTAGGAGACACTGAACAGGGCAGATGTTGAAGCGTCTGAAACATCCCAATCCAGGAAAAGTGAGTGAAGTCGTGGGCTCTCTGCACACCTGACCACATGGAAAGTGAGTCAGTTTTACTCTGGTTGCATTGCAGGCATATGAGAGCCTGTTGTTGCCAATGGGAAAAGCCAGAACCCCATCCAGGCACAACAAAGCTATTGATTTATTACAAATCTTCCATGTGAAGGGGGGAAAGTAATCTAATTCTGGGAGCAGAGCCATCCCTGCGTTACTGTTGGGGCAGCAGACAGCTGCCTTCAAGGTCTCCTTTCATGAGTCGCCGCCTGTCACGGTGCTTAATATTTCCACCGTTAGGAATTCTCCATTGTATCCAGTCGCTCTGTCTCCACAGGTTCCAAAACCTCCTGTGCAGCCGGCCAGCATGGACATTTCAATGTCTGGGATGCTAACTGCTGTACAAGACATTGATTCTAGAAAATTCTGCCCTGTATTGAGTTGAAGTCCTTCTTAAGATTTACAGTCATGATTCTTAATCTTTCCCCCAGCACAGAGTATCATAGAGCCATCTGTTACCTTTCTCCCTGTGATGGCTGTCAGATTTTAGAGGACTTTCAAAGCCCTGCTTCACATTCAAGACCCTGAGCGTCTTCAAACCATCCAAAATGACTTTGTCCCCACAGTCTTCTTCGCTCGAAACACCTTTCCCTGGACTAGGTAGCTGAAATTGGAAGATAAACGCTAAGCGCAGTATTCCAGAAGTTGTCTGTCCATCAAGGCAGAGGTTGATGAGATACAGTTTGTCCCACAGGTTCACAGGCTGGACGCTGTTCCCAGCGCAATGGCAGTGAAAACAGGAGGGCTTTCAGGGGTGGAAAAGGTGACAAAGTGGGGACTACCCTCATGAAGTGATTAATGTCCTAGGTCTCACGGGATCTTAGCACCCACAAGAACACATTACAACAGAGAGCCTGGTCCCTCCCTACTTGCTCTTGTGTCCAATCGTGTTGTGATCGGCCAAAGGGCCCTTAACAGATCCTCACTGCGCTGCTTACACTACCATCCTGCCACCAACACTGTAAGCCAAGTAAACCTCTTTTCTTCCTCCATCACTATCCTCAGGTATTTTGTCACAGTAACACAGGAAGTCACACCAAGGCAAACATGCATATAGCTTTATAGCTTCCTTTGATTTCTTTCTTTCACTGTGTTTTGTGATGCTGTTTGCAGCTTGGGGTAACTACACGGTGGAGAGTTGACTAAGCACCCTTGAGTTTTCAGAGTTTGAATTCTTACTTAGCCAAGTCCCTTGCAACCTACCCTGCTTGTATACGCATTATGTGTCCAATTAATCTCAATTCTTTATTGGTACACTCTGCCACCACCCTTGCAAATGCTGAATCCGCCTTCCAAGATTCATTATTATTTATAAATGATAAGCTTCCTGTGATATCCTGATCCAGGTCAAATGTGAGATAAGGAGCCCCAATAGGGAACCCATCCAGTGAACACAGGGATCAATCATCAGACACAAATACAAATCCACCTGCGGACTCAGTCCTGCCTTTTCCTTTGTATGACTCTCAACACACACCGTGGAGAGTTTCCTTCCTTCCTTCCTTCCTTCCTTCCTTCCTTCCTTCCTTCCTTCCTTCCTTCCTTCCTTCCTTCCTTCCTTCCTTCCTTCCTTCCTTCCTTCCTTCCTCCCTCCCTCCCTCCCTCCCTCCCTCTCTCTCTCTCTCTTTCTTTCTTTCTCAGAGCTTCAGTGGAATTTAAACAGGATGCCGAAACTGAGCTTGCCCTCACTAGCCTTTCCATCTCCCTGGCTAGACCTTTTTCATAGCGTTGATGCTTTTCTGGCTGGCTGACCAGATTCTCCTGCTTCATGGAACTTTCTATCATCCAGAGCAGGCCCTTTCCCCATGCCAGTTTTCTTTGGAATGGGACCACTCAAGCCATTTTGGCTGGTGCTTCTCACAAACCTCAGCTTATTCCAGGCCATCCCAGCTAACCCCTGCTGGGCCCTGCTGGTTTTCATCTCTCTCCTTTGTCTGAGAAGGTCCTTCTGCCCCTCCCAGCTCCTCGGATGTGGACTCCATGGGAAGACCACTGCATAGCCACGTTGCTTGTTTTGTGGGTTGCCCGCACTGGGATGGCATGGCTCACTGAGGGGGTGCTGAGCAACCTCACCCTGGATCCAAGCAGGAAGGCCAGCTGCAGGTCCGAGGTAGTGGAGACTTAGCTTTGACAAAAGAGAAGTGTGCCCTTTGCCATGGGCCCCCAGAATGCCCTTCCTAGTAAGAGATTCGTTGCTTCCCTGGGGGGTTTTAGCCACGATGCAGTTCAACAATGTGCTCCTGGGGTTGGACTCTGGGACACACCACACCAGTTTCAACATCTGGAGATGTTAGCTGATGCCTCTGCAAGAGGCTGGAGAGCGAAAGTCATCCACATGGGTCCTGTGTAGCAGACAGACACCCACAGTTTCAGAGAGCCTTCCACAGAGTGGCCGGACTCTGTGGGTGTTGTCATGGCTGGAAAGAAGACATGGCGTGGGAGACGTTGATTTCATTTTACAAACTTCACCTGTAAAAAATCCTATAATTGTACATACAGCATTTTGGTGAGTTTTGTCAGTCATTTCAGAGAATTGCTAAAATGCAGGATGGTGCTGGGGGCCCCTGAACCACTGTTATCTGAACTAAGGACAATTTGGTGTTCTTCTGATCATGTGATTTGCCTAACTCTCCTTCAGCCCCTTGGTGTAGGGCGACAAATGCCTGTCTTTGTCCAGTTTCAGCTCTCTCCTTGAAATAATTAAGTCCTCGGAGTTAAGGGAGTGTACATCTCACACTTTTGGTCACACTCCTGGGGCACAGGTAGGCAGAGCTGGAATATGTGTGCTAGCGCATGCTCGCAAGCTAAACATAACCAAGGCCCCTGGCAGCAGCCATGGACAAAGGGACAAACTCCAAGCCAAGGCCAGCAGACAAGGCCAGGTGTCTCAAGGCTGGATTCCAGTGTGGAGTGGCTGAGAGGTGAGAATTCCACGTCTGACCCCTCGGGAACTCTATTGAGGTGTACTTCTTTCAAAGCAGCACAGTGGAACATGTTTTATTGAATTTAACAGCTTGTTTGCTTGACTTATGGCCCCTAAGTATCTAGACACATGGTGTGCAGGGCTCTGTTTTTCGCTCTTGCCTCAGGCCTAGCAATGGCAGGTGTGTGCCTGTTGCTAATTGTAAGAATTTTGTTTTCAGAAGCTCCTTCTGGATTATCGTGTCTATTGAGACGGGCTGCTAAAGCTTGACAAAGCCCTGCTTCCACATTTTCTCAGGTTACCTCAAAACAGGCTGTCAAAATGGAATTTTATTTATGTTACTTTCTCCTGAGGTTTCAAGTGCTAAGAATTAGTAAACGCTCCCCATTCTCATATGCCAGAGTGACACGTTAGACTTTTGCTTCGGGTTATATAACAAGACAGGCCTGAAGTTAGCAATGCTGATGCATTTCTCAAAGTGAAGCTTAGAAATGTACACAATGCGCAGACGAGGTAGGAGGTGGGGGAGTAGGGAGTGGGGGGATGGGGGTGGAGGGTGGGGGTGGAGGGTGGGGGTTGTCTCCAGCACGGCGGGCATCTCGGGCCTCAGCTGGAATGCCCCACCACTTGGGTCTGGCTGAAATGGCTCCCTGCTCCTACAGTCAGGGCTGTCATCCTCCCAGGAGTTCAGTTCTTCATCTGTCCTTCAAATGCCGGCTCACAACATGGAAAGACAACATGACAACATAGAAACCAGGCCACTTAAGGGTACGATCTCAAGCTGGCACAGCATTGCTCTAAACCCCCCAAAAGCCTGAGAGGTGTCAGGTTAGAAATGACAGGCGACTCTGGGAAGGCGTAGAAATACGGAGATTCTTGTCCCATGCTTCTCCTTCCAGCCTGGCAGGAGGGCCTTCAAGGAGGCATCACAGTCTGACCCATTTTCCCAACTTGGATTTTGGCACTCCTGAAAAACCCGTGGCACTTGCCCACCAGCTGCCTCCAGCACAGCTGAGGAGAACCCGGCTTGTGACCACCCATGTCCCTAGAAACACAGCAATGACTAAAAGATGGAGCTGGGTGAGCAGGCACTAACCGTGTGGTTCTGGGTGCTGTCCTCTTCTAGGACAGTGGCATCCTTTCATCTTCTAATTCCACCAACCTTTTTCATTTTGTACCTAGAACAAAAAGCTTTGGACTATATTTTTAAAACTCAGACTTTCAAATCTTCTCCCGATACTTTCCCCTTTCCTAGCTTTTCTGTCCAAAGTCGGATATCAACATACTGTGCACATGGTGGCTAAGAAAGGTGATAACATAGTCTTCATGGACGTGTGGTGCCCAGTGTGGCCCCTGTTTATGCAGACTCCTGTGAGTGCACCAGCACCCACGCATGGACTTCCTCTTGCACCTGGACAGCTGTATCTGCACCGACTTCTCCCGTGTGTAGATAGGTTTCCTCCAACTTCATTGGGACAATTGCCCTCTGCACAAGGGCAGGGTCCATCTGCATGTGCATGCTCGCTGCCTACGCTCGGCTCCTACATGTGGCTGGCTAGGCATCCCCGGGCCCATTCTTCCTTGTTCATTTGGAGGCTGCCCAGACAAAGGCAGAAAACAGGTTCAGACAGTAGACTGAGTGACAGGAACAGCAGGCCATCTAGCTTCTAGACTCAGTCGGCAGAGGCCATGAGGTCCCATGTTCCAGGCTTCCACGAGACTCAGTGAGTCAGACAGCAGTGTGGTAGAGTGGTCAGTGACAAGGGTGATACAAGCTGGAGTTTCCCCACTAACACCTGGCCTAGGCCCGTTCCCTCCAGGATCCTTCCACACTGAGGTTTCTCTGTATGCTAGGATGTATAGAATGGCATCCTCTGTGGAGTCCTGCACCCTTATCAAGCTGAGTAATATATGGTGGCCAGAGGATGGCTATCCTCCAGAGGGAAGCAGAGAAAGCTTTGAGTTTACATTTGGAGCATCTGTGAATGACTGTTTATGGTACTTGAATCTATAAGCTTCTTCAAGATTCTCCTCCTGTCTCCATCTGGAATTTTTCCCAAAAGTCATTTATCATCCAGTTCTAAGTGGGTCTCAAAGCCCCAGACATCCATCTTGGCCATGGGAGATATAGCTTTTTGCCTTGACTTTGTGATGATGTCCACCAACGGAAGTGAGGTGAGGAGCACCGGTCTAAGGCCATGTTGTAAGCCTTGCTTGCTGACACTGCCACACTGGCGCCCACAGCTGATGGTCCAGACTCAGCCCTCCAGGGGTCAATGATCCTGTTAGACATGGCATAGCCAACCTCACATGTGAACAAGCCACCCAGGGAGCACCAGCCAATGCCTCAGTCCCACCAGCCCCTTGACATGCCTTATCACAGTGGAGCAAGCCCAAACCACCCTTGCCCTGGCCAGCTGGAATCAACTAGCATCATAAGACAGTGTTGCTCCATGACCTTCAGGGTACTGTTTCATGTGACATTAGTATCTGGGACTTTGTCTCAGCATCCACTGCTAAATCAGAATTGATTGGGTGCTTTGTTAACCAAACTATTGTTAAGAAAGGTAAGTAGGTAGAGTAGGGTGCTGTGATGGTTAGTTTTAAATGTCAACTAGCCACAACTTCACATGTCCGTGGGGGATTGTCTTGAGTGTTGATTGATGTAAGAGGCCCCAGCCCACTGTGAACAACACCATTCCCTAGGTAAGGGTGAGTGTGTGTGAGGTAAGGGTGAGTGTGTGTGTGTGTGTGTGTGTGTGTGTGTGTGTGTGTGTGTGTGTGTGTGTGTGTGTGTCCCCATCCTGAACTATATAAAACAGCAGAAAGGAAGCAAACAGGCAACATGGATGCATTTCTCTCCCTCTGTGCTTGGCCATGACTGTGGATGGCATGTGACAGGCTGTCTCCAGCTTCTTTTCTCTCGGTGGTTCCCTCAATGAGGGACTGGAACTTGGACCTGTCAGCCAAATAAACCCTTCCCTCCATGACGTTGCATTTGGTCAAAGTGTTTTATCATAGCGACAGAAAGGAAACCAGAGCGGGAGCCCTGTGATCCGCCACAGCTCAGCCTTTTGGATTCTGTCGTGTGTTTTATCTTTACAGAGCCCTCATCCCCCCGGACCCACACAGAGATTCTCCAAAGACAGCAAGCCCGGGAGAGCATCCTGTGCAGACTCCAGAGCGGGTCGTGTGGCAGCCACCCTTCTTGTTGTTTCCTGGAGCTGCTAGGAGTTGAAAGAGATGGGAACTGGAGGGACTTCCTGCTCCTGCTAAGCGGATCACAGGGCACCCTTTTTGCCTAGGCGGTGAAAGGGAAGGAAAGCCACAATATGAGGAAGTTTGCGGGGCATCAGAAGGGTCACCTCGGAATCCTTCTGCAGGAAAGAGGGAATGGTGTCACTGCCGATGACAGGTCCTCCCCCCAGCCCCGCGCCCACGCCCCCGGTGGCAGAGGATACTCATACAGTTGAAGTTGCGTCCGTATACGACACCGGCTCTGGAAGGCGTGGGAAATGTGTCAGTTTCGTCTGTCTCTTCCCTCAGAACGGGATGTCACGTGTGCCAGCTCATGGCCTGGCTCCATAGGACAGGTGTGTCCTGTGTGCTTGGAGTCGAGGGGTATGAGAATCTCAAGGCCACACAGCTACAGAGCAGCAGCTTGGAGTCATCACGCTTTGATGGCAAGCAACGCGAAGCATGAAGTCAGCTCACTGTGGAGGGAATTCACGGGAGGTGCTTGCTGGACCGTGTGGAATTTTAGAAGCAGGCCCCCTCTTGGGGCTTGAGGGATTGGAAAAGGCTTATCCACGTCACACCACTCCGATGAATAAACCACCAAAGGCCCTCTGTCTTTTCAGCACTGTTTTCCTCAGATACAAGGACGATTTGTGATGCAGACCCCCAGACATGAGCCTGCATTCTGAAGAGCTCACTGGTTAGCTATGTAAATGGCATCCCTTAACTAGAGAGACACACAGTGCTCTGAGTGGCAGGCTCACAGGGAAGCAGTCATCCTGCCTCCTTCCACCAAGTTGGAATGCTACCCCTAAAGGAGATACAATGCATGCTGGGAAACACAAGAACAGTGAACTTGCTCCATCTAGCCCGGACTCTTCCTGGTTGGTTAGGATGGGATCTGTCCCCTAGAGGTTTATGTGTTAGGCCCTTGGTCTTCTTTGTGGTGCTGTCAAGAGGTGGTGGGACATATAAGAGGTGGGGCCTCGTAGGAAGGGGTTAATGGAGACACTGCCCTCAGGAAGATTTAATGCAGTTCTCATGAGACCCTAGTGGGGTCTTACCAGACAGTTGCCACAAAATGAGCTGGCCATTTGCTTTCTGTGACTTCCTGTCTCACCATGTGATCTCTCCCTCTGACACGTGTTCTCAGCACTGTGATGTCATCTACCATGAGGACTTACTTCACCAGAGCCAAGCAGAAGCCTGTGGATGCCTTGATCCTCTAGAGCTGTGAGCTAAATCCTTTAATAAAGTACCCAGCCTCGGGTATTTCATTATAGTAATGGGAAGTAAGCTCCCCACAAGGGTCTCGACTCCCACAGGTTTCTGTGTCAATGGCAGCATTACCCTACTCTGCAGGACAGATGCTTCTGTGGAGAACCTCTGAGGGAACAGGCAGAGAAGGCGTCTCCTCTGAGCCAAGGGTGGAACCAGCTGGAAAAAGACCTTCAGCCCAGAAGAGGCTGGAGTTTTACATTATTTATGACCTCCTGGGCTGCTTTTTATAGGACATTTTTGCCTGGGCCACAGGTTTGATAACGAATGCAATAAAGTGGGGCAAATGTGATTTAGTAGAACAATATGGCAAGATGATGTCATCTGTGTAGTAAACAAGGGGAGCTATTGGGTCATAAATAGTCTTTTTACAGCAACTGCGAGTGGGTCCGAGAGCAGATGCACAGTAAACACAGTTGCTTTATAGAAATTCCTTTCCTTTCCTTTGGAAAGGATTAGAAAAGCACATGTGAGACACTCCTGTGAGCTTTCTTCTGTGCTTTTTGTTGGGATTATTTAACTCTTCTTTGCTCACCTAATAGAGTGGGCCTTGCTGAGCATTACCTGCTTCTGTGCACCCAAATTATCAGGCATTGGAGAGGGCTCAGCATGCATTCACACACACACACACACACACACACACACACACACACACACACACACACACACTAATAAGCGCAGTTCAACATCACAACACACATACAGTACACATGCATGCACTCACACATAGGACACACAAACACATACACATACCCTCACATACCCATGCAGCACACAT